CTCGAGTGCCCATTCTTATATAGCAGTTCCATCTTCTCACCCCTTATGATATCATATTCCCAATCGACGCGCACGAGGAAAAAAGTTTCAGTTATGTTTGACTCATCTACGAATACTGCAACTTCCCAAATCTCGTCAACGTATCCGAAAAAGGCCTGTACCGGGCTTTCACAATGTGCGCTCGAATCAGTGCTTTCATTCTCCGATTGAAACAACCCAACGACGCAAAATTTTTGTCTTGCGGTTCCGTCTCTCTCCCGGCGACGAAACTCCGTAGCTGTTTCAATCGTGAACTCGCCGTCTTCCCGTAAAAGTTTCACTTTACTGTGAAGCCTTAGTCCACCTAGCCTGCAGTGCGCATAAAACTCCTCCATGTTTGCCCGGAAGAACGCCAAGGCCTGGTCGCGACGACCAGCACTTTTTGTCTCCACACCCGCATGACTGGCTCGCGTCTCGAAGAAAGAGGAGACTGGTCCGTTCGGAGTTCGACCCTGATGGATTCCACCAGACAGCAACTTCAGGCACAGAAGGGTATGGCTTTTGTGGAACAAGTTCGTCTCTGGATGCTTACGTGACATTGCTCTTCCCCCCATCTCCCCAACAAAGCGCTCCATGAAGAACTGCGAGACATTTCGCAATGGAGCGCATTCTCTCAAAATTTCCTAGAGGTGTAGTATGGCATGAGTGGTGGGGGTGAAACAAAATGAATGCCGCTTGCTTTCATGGAACACAGTTGTGAAGAGTGCATGCAGTTTCTGTACAATTTTGCGAAGCTGAATCGAATCCGTTCTCCGCGGCGACGCATCTTGAACGATTGTCAGCATCTTGGAAGTTAGATGCCACAATGTCTGCTGTCTTCTGTCCAACGCCGCTGAATGCCACACAATGGAGGCGAAGTAAAGTCCAAAGTTTTTGAAATCTTCAGCTCGAAAATGGTTAAGATTTCCCAAGCTTGTTGGTGGACGGCCCCAAAATTGCGGAATTCCTCTGTGGTTGCGAGACAGTGCAACATTAACGAGAGCAATCTCACTTGTGGTCAAGATGTAGGACGTGTGCAAATCTTGATGGCGCTTATGGGAGCCAATAACCAGGAACACCAAGTGCCGAACCCAACCCAACAAACAGAGATGCATAGGATCATACGGTAAGGAAAAAACGAAATCCAACGAAAGGCGCGCGATCAGGGGTCTTTTCTTGATCCCCGTAGCTCGCGGAACCGTGTCTTTCTGTCGCCAGACGGACGCCGTTTCAGAAGAGGTTCTCCGTTCTGGGCATTCTAATTCTATCCAACACTGATCTTTCCATATGCCATTCCCTCCAACAGCTTCTTTCCTGCACCTCTCCGATCCGACAGGGACAGCGTACAGAGAGCCGCATACAAAGACGGCTTTTTTGTGGCAATTCCGGCAGAAAAGTTTTGCTCTGTGTCCCATAAAACCGAAAAGCTTGCTTGCGGCGGGGAAGTCCGCAGTGATAAAAAGGACGAATGCGAAGAGCTTCCGGGTTCTGCCGTCCCAACACTTCACATCCATTCCTTTTTCCAAGTTCACGAGGTCGTCCACAATTGAGACTAAAAAGCTCTCGAAAAACTCAGGATTATGTGAACCAGGAATAAAACTGGTGACGAGAGCATTTGCAGCCTGGCCGCGATGTGAGAAGTCCAGATTCAGAAGCTTGAAGATGATAGGCCAACAGGTTCTTTTTCCTTTACTTGTACCATAAAGTTCGAAACCATCTGTGGACATGACCATGGAAACATAGAGTTCACCGTCTGGATCCCACGTGCCTAAGCGCTTACGAAACATTCGGCGAAACATGGCGCCGTCGTAGTAGTCAGAAAAAATGTCGACCGGTTCTAAACTCATTGCTAAATGGGCTTCATGACATCCTTTCTGAAACTGAAGGAAAGAATATTCCTCGCGGCAGAGAGCTTTTAGTTGGTCAGAGACGTTGCTCGTCCAGAATCGTGCCGATCCGATCCTCTGTCTGCAATCGGCATTTGGACATGTATTTCTACGAGACTGAGACCCAGTCGCAGCGAAATGTCCGCGTGGACACATTGGGACGTGGTGCTTAGGCACATCCGCTCTTCTATTGATATGTCTCATAAGCACGTCATATGAGAACCGTGACCTTACAATTGACGTCTGCAAAGCACTTCGTATACATCGGGTAGAAGCTTGGCCCAATTCCAGAACATGAAGAAGTTCCAAAATTCCCTTGGATTCAGACTCCTTTAAATTCCAATTTGTATCAGCTAAACGTTCGGTTCGGGTGCTTTCTGAGTCATGGGATGACGTCTCCATCTCAGACAGCGGCAGTTCATCGTACCTGTCAATTTGTCTTTCGGGCACTTCACTGATCATCCACTCAGACGAGTCTTCGACACTTGGCGAATGCTCTTCCACGCATACCTCTTCAGTCCATTCGTCAATCTCTCCTGTGCTGCTCTCATTCACGGAAAAGTGTGGTGCAAAACTCGACTGTGAGGAAGATTCGTCTATTGAAGCTTTCTCATGTTTCCACTCTTTCAATCTCCTTTTTCGGGAACGTACATACAATTCGCCGCGCGTCCGAATGATGCCAAGCACTTGTTCCCGTCTACGTTTGAGATACCTTCTCGGCGAGTGGCCGGTAAAATCGTTTTCATTCATAATAGAGACAAGGCTTACGTGTTAGGGGGAAGGAGGGTGGCGAAATGACAGCTACTGTGGACTTGGGAAGACGCATTGGCTATAATTTGGGGTAGAGAATTCTGAATAATGAGAACCAAACGAAACAAATTTTGATCCCTCATCAAAGCGGGAAATGCCATTGAGGGCGCTTTTCTTTCGTTTCGAGTGAAACGAAACACTTCATAAATGCTTTCTCCACAGCAGCTTATCCAGATTTCTTGCCTTCATTCCTGTCATCATTCATGTGAAGTAAATTCATAACTTCGATTCTGCTGTTTTTTCTTAGTAGAATGGAGGGACCCAAAGAGGAAGACGGATGTCTCATGGAACCGTCCAGGAGAGAAGCGCGTCGCGTGGGGAAAAATGGAACAATCGGGTCGCAGCGACCCATACGTGAGGTGTTCAACAACGCATACCTCTCTTACATGGAGAAAAGCGGTGACGATTTCCAGCTTTTATCAGATTCGACGATCCGTGGTGCTTTCAAACGGGTTCGTCTTGTGTTGTATGGGAGCGGAAAGTTTGGCATGGAGTTACCCAAGGGGAAGTTTTCTTACAAGGATCTAAAGTATGAGCACGCCGGGACTTTGGCGACGCTCCGAAACAATCTCGAGAAGCGCATTCCAGACCTGAAGCTTGCCCATAATCAGTGGGCCGCCGATGCAATAATCTAAGAGGTTCTGCGTCGTGACAAAATCTACGGGAAGAAGAAATAAAAAATGCCATCAGATTCGTGTGGCGGTGAGAGGGAGCAAGGAAACATGAGTCCGCAGCAGTGCGACGACGACCACCGTCACATCTTAAGGACTGAACCAGTGCCAGGTGACTCTCATGGTGACCGAGTTCAACGGAGTACAGAATTCGAGCAAGGAACTGATAGTGATGACATTCATCATGAAGATGCTTCAAGAAGTCGGGTCCATGATGGTGAATGTGTTAAGGCACGTCGAGGAACATCCCGTGATAGACATTTCGACGAAGATTCACATCTTAAAGTACATCACCCTACCGCGAACACAAAGGGTAAAAACGCAAGACGTGTCCACAACCGACTTCCGGGGTTGATCCTTGGGTGTCGTGAAAACGGTGATCTTGGTCAAGGGTTTTTTGAGGATGGAGGCGATAATCTCCAGGACGTCCAGCCGTCGGTCCGAGAGCGTAATAAACGCAAACGAAATAACAAAGGAAATGCACCTCTGGCGACGACATCATTCAAACGCCCTCGTCGTCATACCAAGAAGTAGAATGGTACATTACGCAGTCCTTCAATGGACCACGTTCTTGCCGGACACCTCAAACCTAATGCTCCCATCTCCAATAAACGACACGTCCATAACACGACTTTCTGTGTTCCCAGCCTTGAGGACATTTCTCGAGCGAACAAGGCATCCACAAAGCGTCTTCTCAAGTCGCACTTTTTGTCAGACCTGATCCATTTGTCTAGAATATAGTAGAATAAGTTGTTCGTAGTCCTCGGTCCGTTGCGAACCGGCAATTGCATTAGCATTGCGTAAACTTCATGGGTTTTTGTGTGGTCTTTCATTTTGATAATAGATCAATTCCAAGGACAGGAGGAAGGATCTGACTTCGCAAATGCGGAGGAGGAGGGTGCTGAGCTCTGGGGTTCGACGAAGCACGCTGCCTGGGCCGCTCAGTTGTACTATGAGGGTAAGGAGCTGATTACCACGGATGTGTAGCGGTCCACATTTCCAAATGGCCGATTGCATCATGGCCACAACAGAGCAGTTGGACGACTTCTTCCTCTCTAGTCCAATCGTGGGACACGTGGGTCATGGCAGCTTTCATACCGTCATTGCCTTTAATCCCCTCAACCCGAAGGAGAATCATGAAGCGCCTCGGTGAAACAATCTCATGGTCAATCGAGCGATTACCACGGACGAGCCAAGGACTGAAGAGCACGGTGCCGGGATTAGAAAGAAGCAGTGTCTCGTCCCAGAACTCAGCGAAAACGCGGTGGCGATGGTGAAGACCGTCAGGCGTGCACTGGATCTAGATACTATTTTGAACCCGGGCAAAATCATCGACACGGAATACTGGGGGTATGTACCACGAATTTGTTCCCTCTCACAAGTCCTCGTGACTTGTGAAAGGGAACCTTTCGTGGTTGTGTAGGGCCATGTGCCCCCCTTTTTTCTCTCTCTGACAGGTGACGTTGTGCGCGATTTGAAGTAATGTGTTCTTTTGAATTTCGGTAAAGTGTGTAGGCACCACTGATACTTCCTTGGGAGTGCCGGGAGGAGAGCCGCTCGTTCCTTAAATAGTTGCGTTATTATGCCCTCGGGTTCCATATCATCAAGCGATGTGCTACCTCTCAAAAAAGGAGGGTCGTGCAAAAATACAGCTATCTCCATAGCTCAAAAACCTGTAGCCACGGTCGAGGGCTTCTTGATAGACGTTAAAGAGGTCCTGCGGCGTGCCGCCAAGAAAAGCAGAGACGAGCATTAGCAGCGTTGATCGTGGCTGATGAAAGTTGGTAATGATGGCGTCAACCCTGCGCACAACGGAACCGGTAACGTGAAATGGACTCATGTTAGTGACAGTCCTCACCCAAAGCTCCCTTGCCGAGCTGCCGTGCGCACCTCGCAAACGTACATTTTAAACGGGTATTTCGGAACGATAAGAAGTTGGGTCGTTCCGAATATGGGCATATCCTTTTCGCGATGCCACTGTAACACGGCCTGCATAGCGTGGTGCGGTGTCGGGAGCGCGTCCTTGCCAAGCTCATCCATCCTCTCATATGGCTCCCACTGCCCGACATGGATGGTCGCCCTTGCGCCCGCGCCCTCTTCCACGAGCAAACGCACGCCAAACCAGTACATAGACTCGAGCGCGCGCACAGACGTAGTCCCCTTACGCAAAAACACGAACGTATCGACAGAAACAAAAATAAGTCAGCACACAGGCCCAACACGCCTCTCAAAAAACACAAATTACATTAATCCCCTCCTACCATTGCGACAATGGGGCTGCGGCTCTCCACGTGCCTACCCACTCTCTCCACGCAGGCCCTGCGCGAACTCATCAGCTCTGCATGCATACCATGGCCTCCGACAGTCTCCGCCGTAACCGGAGCAAAAGTGCCCGCGCCAACAAGCAGCACGACGTCCTCCATCTGTACGCCTCGCTCCCGCAGCTGCTCGGGTGCAGGGCGGCGGCGGGGGCGGCGACAACGACGGGGGTTTTCGTTGGGGTGGGGGCGCGGGCCGGGCGCGGGACGGGGGCTTTGGGCGGTTCCGCGGGGGCGGGGGTAGGGCGCGAAGGCGGCGGAGCGGGCGCAAGGTGGGGCTCGGGGACGTCATCGAAGGCGAGGTCTCCAAAGTCGTCGTTGTCGTCGTCGTCGTCGTCGTCCCAGGAGCGGGCGGAGACGGCGCTGAGGCGGGAGACGGCGGAGGAGGCGCCGGCGGAGCGGGGGCCGGAGCGCGGGGCGTTGACGAAGCGGGCCTCGACGGTGGCGCGGAGGGAGACGGTGTTGGAGAGGGCGAAGACGTGTGTGGTGGAGGCGGACGGGACGGCGGCGAAGGTAGAGAGGTCGAAGTGGAGCTTGGCGGCGGTGCGCTCGCTCTTGCGCGAGGGGTGGGTGGCCAGCAGCGAGAGCTTGGCGTCCTTGGGATCGAAGCGGTTGTCAGCGCGGTAGAGCGTGACGAGGAGCGAGAGCTTCTGGTCGATAGGGAGGGAGGTGGCCGGGGCGTTCGGGGCCAGTACGGGCTTGGTGGAGGCGAGTTTGACGCCGCGGGTCCACTTGACGACGTACGAGACGTTGGGCTTGAAGCCGGAGAGGGAGTGGATGGTGATGTCGAACTGTAGGGGCGTGGGGGTGCATGAGTGGATTGTGTCAGGGTGGTGCTAGCAATGCAGAGAGGGCGGTGTGTGTGTGTGTGTGTGTGTGTGTGTGTGTGGAACGAACCTGGAAGCGCGAAGCGGCCTTGCGACGGCGCGAGGCGCTGCGGACGAGCTGGGCGGGCTTGTTGCCGACGCGCTTCATGGTTAGAAGGGCACGTTGTCGGGAAGTGCTGGCGTGAGGTAGCGGGGGTGACGGTGAAGGTGAAGGTGAAGG